AGGGAATAGGTAACAAGAGCAGTGGGGACTGCTCTGAGAACAAAGTTGTTTCCATGGTTTTCAGATAACAGGTTTTTAAGGACTGGTATTCTCTGAATAGGGCAGAGAAAGCCCATTTCCAGTCCACTTGCACAGGTTGATGCTAAAACCAGGGGCGGTTTACGTGAACCTTAAGTTGGGAAAAATACCTGCTGTGGATAAAATAAAGATGAATAATGTTTTTTTAGATTAAGTCTTGGGAAACTGATTTCTAGATGACTCACAGTTCATGTTAGTTGTGCAGAATCAGTGATCATCCTCAGTAGTGGCTGCTGCACTGGAGGGTGCGAACTGCATCCTTACCTCTTCAGCCCCATGTATGTGCTGGTCCTATCTGTCTGCTTTTTGCAGACAGATGTTCCCATCCTGCAGCACTCATTTTCCCAGTGAGTAAGCACTTGCACTGGAAATACACCCAAGAAAGATGCACCGGGCTGGGGGGGTCCATGGGTGTATCCACAGAGCTGGGGAGGGTAACGTATATCTTCTTCACCCTACTACAAATTGCAGATGGATTGCTTCTTTGCCTAGCCCCATGATCTGCATGCTGTTTTTCTGGTTTAGGACCTGCAGGATATGCAAAGTGCTGACAACTTGATTTACTATTCCCTTACACCCAGATACAGTTATTCGCCATACACAACGTGGGTGTAACACCTTGTGAAGCTGGGCATTTCACTATGGATCATATGCAAAGCCATAGGAAGTGCTTGCTTGTGTGACAAAGGTGTGGAGAATCAAGCTTCAGATGAGGAATAGATGGTAAACAGAAATCAGAGTGATCGCCTGCCTATTTTATGCAGGCAAAATCTCTTTTGTACTAAGGTGATGCTCCTTCACCATAGCCTTAAAGTAGGCATAATTGTGATTTAAGTCTTTTTTACACTAGAAGAACAATTACTGTAAGGATGACTCAGCCCCATCAGGAGCAGCCTTTGTACACTAGACAAAATGCCAGGAGATTTTCAGATAGGTAAAGTTTGGCTTGGCTGGTGTAGAGCAGCTTTTATCAACTTGGAATCTAAAAGGTAGTTAATTCTTGGTTGCTTTGTGGGTTGTTTTTTTTCATTTCCATTAGAATCATTTCTCTGTGTGTAAAATCAGCTAAACCAGTTGAAAATCATTTAGAAGCTTTTTCCTGACTTGATAGATGATATGCACATTAGGTAATTGAAATCGCACACGCTCCAGGAAGATAGAGCCTCGCCTTTCCCATTTGCGGTGGGGCAGGATTGAACCTGTCTAAAACTATTTCATGCATAGGGAGAATAAAGGAGGAAATGAATTACGGTTTTATTTGAGTTGAAGGATTAGTTGTGGGATAATAGCGAACAACGAAACAACTTGGAAACAATGTTGCCGTCTCTTAAACAGTTTTATTAGCTTATGCTGATTTGTGAATTAGGAAAACCAAATTACGTGATGCAAGAGAGCAGGGAATGGCAATTAAAAACCTGCAGGAAAGGACTAGAAAAACTGTGATCTCTCACTGCCTGCTCTTCAAAGCAAGATGGAGAGCATGACCTTTTCTTGGAATAAATACAGGGTATTGCACAGAGCTGACTTCTGGTTTTTAGTTTTGCCAATTTGCAGTTGCTTGCTTGTACTATGGTTCTTATTTGTTGATTGCCCTGGGGTCCAATTTTAGTAGCTAAATACTCCCAAGAAGTACTTCCATGTTCTTTGATTTGAGGTCTGTTCATCTCTCAATTACACTTCTAATCTGTCAACTCAATGTACTTTTCAGCACTCAAAGGCAGGGCTGTGCTGCGGTATTTGAATAACCATAATGCTGTGGGACCATGAAAAACAGCTTCCTTGCGTAACATTTCCCTTTTAGAGCTGAGATGTGATCGGTAACCGCGTATGTGATAATGATTCATTGATCATGTTGAGACTTCAGTTGCAAAGCCTGGATGAAACCTACTTAGACAGCAAACAGGCCTTCCTTGTTGTTCCCAAGTTATTACTCTTTTGCACGTTCCAAGAAGAGCATGTCATCACAGCCTGTCACATCTGCATAGCAAAAGGATCGTCCCAATTAGGGAATGAGTGCTCTGCTCTTAAAGCAAGGATTGTGCTTCAGGAAGCAGCATATCTCCCTGTGCATCCTGAAGTTTGTGCCACGCTCTCTTTAAATCTTAAGCATAAAAACGTCTGGAAACAGTCACAGGCAGACGTGCCTTGCCCCTCGCAGAAAGAAGTGCCTACGGGTAAGGTCAAGTGAGCAAGTTGTAGCAGATTAAACTGGCTTGTGAATTTACAGTGCATCATCCGCTCCGTAATAACTGGCTGTGTGCGTGGTGCACCCTACAGTAAATACAAGGTCTCTTGCCCTTTTTTCCCTGAGGGGTAGGCTGCCTTGCTTCATGTCATCCTTCCTGTGGAAGAGAAGCGCTCGGAGAAGGAAATCTGCCACAGAGCATCACCGCGCCGTATCGCACAGATGCTGCTGTGACTTGTCCCTGTGCCCCTGCACTGGCAAGGGTCTGCAAGACAAATTCCAGGCTGATAGGAAGATAACTGCACAGTTAGCACGCAACGCTTGCGCCTGTTTTGGCAACCAGAGCCTTGTTTGGCTTGAACAGAACCAAAAATCCTACTCCTGCCAGGTGGAGTTAGTGGAAGGGCTTGCACTGAGCACGGTGGGTTTCAGCCCAGCATTACGCAGAGCTCGCTGTGCAGGGAGGCTCAGAGGTGTCCATGCAAGCAGGAGCTGCAAAATCTGGTATGAGAGACAAGGTGCGCCTGCAGTAAACTTCCCTGCGCTTACTAAAAATAGTTGGAAGCCATCTAATTTTGGCAGAAATGTTAAATATTTTCTCATAGTGCTTTGGAATCCATTTTCAAGCTCCCCTGAATGTTGAATGGCAAGAGATGGGTGTTGAGTGATTTTTTTTTTAATGAAGATTAAAAAGTAGAGTTCTTAGGAGATTTTTGGATTGCCAGATTATTGGGGAAGAAAACAAATAATTTTGAAAATGCTGAAATGTTTCATATTTACACTTAGAAATGAAAAGTTAACACTTAGAAACAAAATGTTTTGAGTATTTTGAGCTTGAGATGGTTTTTTCAATCTTGAGATAAACTTAGTTTAAAGAAGAATTAAGTGACTTGAAAATAAATTAGTTTGGGTTAAGCAAAATGCTGAGGGTTGTCTTAAAATCGGGTTTGGGGTTTTTTTTCTCTTTTTGGTCTGCTTTCTAAAGTTAAAAAGCTTGTGAGATCATGTCAGGTAGTGTGCTCTCTGTCAGATAAGCAGCAAAGTCCCGTTTTAGTAGAGGAGAGAAGCCATTGACCAAAGTCCTGGAAGTGTAACCGGGGCCTCTGGGTATCTGAAGGATTTTGAGGTTGCATTGCCTCTGTCACAGAGGAGCTGTACTCCCGGTTCAGAGTTTCTTAGGCTGGGAAGACTTTTGTAAAACATGTTTTGCATTGCTGCAATCCATCAGGGAGGGGACAAAGACACGTGTAACTGAAATTACTGGTCATCATCATCATCATCATTGTGAGTGTGCCTTGCAGAGTCCCAACCAGCTGGACGCTGGTTGACAGATGCTGTTCTGTAAGGACTTAGCCTCAGCCAGTAAATCCAGGAGCAGTCTTACACCAAACCCTGGGTCAGTACTGGTTTGGGTTTTGGAAGGTTTTGTTGTTACTGCTTTGCATGTTCAACTAAGACTGTGTCAGGCCTGTAAACTTTTTCAAATAGCTATGATTGCGTTGCCTTCCCTCTGCTGTTCAGCCATGAACTGCTCTTGTCCATCTGTCTGACTTGTTTCCTGCCTTCACATAGGGTGAGGTTCATCTGCATGCATCTGTAGCCATCTAATCTGAGCTCAGTGTCTAGACTCACTTTATGGAGGGAGAGAAGTGGACCTTTCTAGAGGGTGATTTGTTCTGTCCTAAAGCAGATACAGATATCTTAGGTCAAATTAATAATTTTTTAGATTGCTGAGTTTCCTCCGCTGAAAGTAAAGAGAGCTTGCACTGTGTCAGGTGTAGACTTTTGTCCAACACACATTTTTGGTTTTTGGACACTGACTCCAGCACAGCACTGATAATATAATACAGGTTCCGTATGCACAGATCCTGAAATGCCATGTGAAATGTCTAAGGAGCCTTACGTCAAGGAGATAGGAGAGGTTTGTGACACAAAGTGAAACTAAGAATTTAGGAACCACAAGCAGACCATGGGAACCTGGCTGAAGGAAAAAGTGTTCAATACGGGCCCTGTGGAAATACACACTCTTATTTTCAGTATTCTGTGTGGGGTTCACATAAAAATGAAGCACAGCAGTTTTCCCAGACTCCAGTAAAAGGGCTTAGGATAATCTGATACCTTGTACAGTAGGTCAAAAAATTAAGACTTAGTCTACAAAGAAATTCTGTCAAAAAAACAAAAGTACGAAAAGAACCACATGATATTAAAAATCTTAGATGTGAAAAATACTTCCTACTGAGGACTAGCAATTGTATGTGTGTTTGGTTGGTTTCAGTACTCCATTGTTGCCATTATGGATAGCCACAGACATAGGTGTTTGTGTTCCCTTAGAGGAGTTCATTGAGAACAAAAATCTTCCTGTATAGAGATCTCTGCACACCGGGCTTTGTTTGCGTACACTTTTCAAAAGAACAACCCCAAGTAGTTTTTTCTTCCTCTTGTTATGGCAACAGAAGTATCCAAGAACTATTTTAATTATGTATCTGCCTCAGCAACTCTGAACTGGGTTGTAATTGTTGGTAATAAGAAGTACAGAGCAAATGACTCTTTTTATCCCAGATCAGTGTTTGACATACACTCACTCTGTACTGGAATCTCCATCCTGGGAGCTCATTAAAAATGCATTTACTTCAAGGAGATGTAAGAATCAATTGTTCATTTGCAAAACAGCTCTATGGATTTTCCTCATTTTATTCCTTGCTTTCCTTTCTTACTTTGTTTTTCTTTTCTCTTACAGCTCCCTCTCTCTATATTCGAAAGAGGAAAGCCAGTGAGGACCTGTGAGCAATCCGGCACTTTCTGAAAGATCTTCATGCTAAAGGATAATCCAGAATTCCCTGAAGAAGAACATAGTGAATGTTGTGAGTTCTCAGCAGTGAATACATGTACTTGCAATTGTGTCATTTGGGGGTGGGACCTGCACTCTAGTGTTTGCTCTCATCCCTGTGGTGTACTGAGCATCTTCTTGCTCTGCTGAAACCAGAGGCAGATGTGTTTGGGTTGGGTTGCAAAGCCAGGCTTGAATTTCTCTCCCTCTCTCTTTTTTCTTTCTTTTCTTTCGTGTCTTCAGGGGCGGAATAGTGTTATCTAAGGAAAAATGTGGGGTTTCTTTTCCTTGGACTGCTACAGTTATTTGACATATTACTATAACTTTTTAGTTAAATATGTAAGTCTGCATTTGAAGCCCTTGTGACCGTGTAGTCTAACAAGAATGACAAATTCTGTTGATAACAGATCGGCAATCAACAGGTCAGGTTCAGGAGTTTTATATGTTCTTATACAATGGTTGGAATTATTTGGCTGCTTTCAAATTAGAGTAGTGCCAATGTGGTTATTTGCACCTGGTATTCCAAACTCCTATTGCTTTGATTAGATTGTTATATTAGTTTGAATATTTTTGATACAAATGCTCCTCTTGGAGGTTTGTGTTCATGGGAATCGGAGTAGCACACCGTTCAGAGGGCAATATAGTCGCAGAGCTAAGACCATGATCCACCTGCAACATTTAAAAGAAACTGTTCCCATGAGGGATGGCTAAAGAGAAGGCATAAGTACTTTTATGTTCATTGTTTTCTCCTGAGGCCCACTGCTCTTCTGGGTTGAAATGGCCAAATGTGCATGTCAAATGTAGACATTCTCACAAACAGAAGAAAACAAGAATTCTCTGCCAGCCAAGTTTGAGAATAATCTTTATTTTTGTCTTAAGAAGGAACCTTGAGAATTTCAAAATTAGGTAAGTTAGTATTTAAATCCTTATGCCCAAAGTACGCAGTGGTCCTTCAGTATGTTAGTGATAAAATAGCTACAGATTATTCCAGTTTGAGCAGATTAGTTTTTGCACTTTTCATAAATTTAGCAAATATAAATATATTTCATGACTGCTAGGTATGTCTTCTAGCTCCCTGGAAGTTGGATGCCCTACTTTGCTCTGCCTTTCCCTTTGGGTTCAGACTTTGGGAAGCAGATTGAGACAGATTCTAAGTGGTGCTGCCTTCCCAAGAGCCATTTGCAAAATAGATGTTAGAAGAAGACACTGAAAAATCTTCATTGTCTTTCCCCTTTCCCACATGCTTTGATCTACAGTGAAATAGTTAACAAAGCTGACATTCTGAGGTGTTAGTTACTAGTACCACTAAGTTGCCAAGTTAGTAACTCGTTAAGATGAATAAGGGGCCTCTGAGACCCAGAGCATCTCACTGTCTGTATATCCAAGCAGACATGACTATATCGGCTTATTCCCACACTTTAAAAGACTTCTTCAAAACTGCAAGGGCTTACTTTGCACACTGACATCCTAGAACAGAGGAGGGCAGCCTTAAATAATAATAAAAATAATAATAATGATTATGATGACAATAATAATAAAAAAACTGGCCTAGCATGCAATGCTGTTGGGATAACAGGAGGTGCCTGTTGAAGATATTGCAATCACCTCCACTGATTGCAACAGCAGCACCACCTCATGCTGAGAAGAGCGTTCCCCAGGTCCACTAAGGCATGTGGTGTGCCAGATCAGCCAGATAAACTGCATGAGGAAAGGAGACGATCATCAGCCATTACAGGGGATGGAATATCTGTCAGAGATGCTGTTGGTATGATTATTACATTCTGACCTGTCCTAAATGGTATAAAATGAGTCCGCTTAGAGCAGAGCATGGTGGTCTGCTGTTGTGTTGCCAAAACCTTAAATTACAGTCCTGAGGCCTGGGTTTGCACAGAAGCAGCAGCACTCTTCTCACCAGGTATGGATGGAAAGAAGTGCTCTTGAGAATGGCTCTCACACTGGTGTCCAGGACTGCCTTCTTTTGGGGAGTTTTTCGTAGGTGATGGGGAGCTCTTTAGAAGTTCCTTGAGAGCATATTTTGTCACTTGGCTCCTGCTTGGAGAGGACAGTGCTGCAAGCAGGAGGCGGTTAGCCAGGCTGCTCTTCTCCCCTCCCCTCTTACTTTTATCCTCTTGGGGAGATAGGAATACCAGAGATGAGAAGGGATTGTGTTTCTGCTGAAAGGAAATGCCAGCATACAGTAATTTTATTGAAAAATACTACTCTCTCTTCCCTGAGTGTTTGCAGGGTGTCATCACGGTAAGATGTGTGGAAAGCAATCAGACCTTTCCCATTGCAGGCGGTAGCTGTTTTCATCCCTTCCACCTCCTCCTCCTCCTGCCACCTAGGCATGTTTCAGGGGAAGGGGGGTGTGAGGAGGGAGGGGGGCAGTAGATTGGAACCAGTGTCTTGTATCCACCTAGAAACTGCCTGTTTACTAAACAGTACAAATTTCTCACTTCCTTTCTCCTGCTCTCCTCATTTGGATGAAGCACATTTCTGGAATAGCAGAGCTTGTACAAATCAAGTCCATATTCCTCTTCTGCAGGGAGAGAAAGGGATGTCAGGAGGATTTGTTAAGGAGGAACATTTATTTCACTTACCAAGGGGCAAAAACAAAGCGAGGCAAGTCTCCTTTGCTCTCACATGAGGGTACCTTGTGAATTCCAGCACACGGTTTTGTAATTTTCTGGTAGGATTTAGGTATCCTGAGGTGTTTTTTTTTTCCATCCTGAAAACATATGCCGCAGCTTTTTTGGAGTGCTAGCCGCACAAGCACAAACACATTCTGACAGGAGCAATGAATAAACTCTTCGTGTTCCTCACTCACAGGCATTTCTTCACTTTTTTTTTTTTTTTTTTTTTGGCGCTTATGTGAAAACCTCTGGCAGGGTTTGTGGAAATGGAAAATAAATCTCTAAATCCAGCATGTGTCAATAACTGAAGCGTCTTCAGTTGATCTCTTATCTATAGCTGTTATTTTGGGCAAGCTGCGGATGGCGGGATAGTAAACATGCCCGCTCCTCACTTCGACAGGCTCTCTGTGCCCACCTTCAGGCTGACCCCAGGGAGGATCTCAGGGACTTCAGCCATATAGGGTTTAGCCCTGGTCCCATCTCATTTTTTGAGCTGCCGCCTGCTTTCTCCACTCCTTGGCCCTCCTCGTTCCCCTCACCCTGGTCCTATCTCATCCGTACTCTTCCTTTGGCTGCCGGCTGTTTTTCCTGGCCCCTGGACCCGCGGCAGGGCTGGGAGCGACGGCTCCTGGAGCTGATGTCAGTGCCGCTTCCTGAACCGCCCGGCCGGGCTGGCGACGGCCGGGGAACACCCTCTCCCCAGAGCATCACCTTCTCCTCCTGCCCGCACTGCTGCTACGGCAGCCCCTCGGAGAGGACGCATGCACGAGGGATGAAAATTGAACGTTTGTCAGCCTTTTGCACTGGTTTTTCTGCCAGCAGCCATCTCCCGCACCTTGAGCCTCAACACCAGGTTTGTGGGGTGGTTGGAAGCGATGGCCGGTGTCTGTTCAGATGGTGATGAGCTGTGCACACCTTGGAAGAGCGATGGGAAGTTTTGACACAGGCAGCCTTAATGTTTCTGGGTGTCTTTGCTTTTTGAACTGCTTTGGTATCAGTATGCTAAACCCCTTCACGGTTTTCTACGGAAATTACCAGGCTGCTGACAAAAGAAAGAGCTGCGTGTGTCCGTTCTTCCAAACAACTGCCCAGTACATGCCACTTAGTATTTATGGGGAGAGAGAAAAAGGGAAGAATCGCTGTCATTTGAGAAATGTCTCTCAGAAGCGGCAGTAATTTATTCCCAGGCATTATTCTTCATTAAGAGCTACAGACAGCTGCAGCTTCCCTTTAAATAGAAATTGCACTCTGTAGGCATGCTATACATAGGGCTTCAGGTTTCTGACATTTCTCTGCCAAAAATCAGAAGTATTTCTCACCAAATAAATGTTTATTCAGAAAGTCTTATTTCCTGGCTTTTATTTCATGTCACATGCTTCCGCTGGCCAGGCAAGAACGACTCGAGGCTGACATTTGGGAGAGGAAGCTAAAACAGTTTGGGTTTCTTGCAGGGCTTCAAAAAAATGTCTCTGACCATAAATCCGGGCCTTCAGTTCAGCAGTTTATTTTATCTGATGAACATTGGATTAGAAAGGACGTTGCAGAAATACAGCAGAGCTACTGTGTTTGCATGGAAGAGAGACAGGCAGTGGTAGGTGTTCCTGGGCATCAGGTTGGCTCACCCTCTCTCCCATCTTGAAGCCACCATCCCCTGGGTGTGCAAGGGTGGCACACCTGCCTTGGTGGCACGCAGCAACCAAGCTGTTTCAGTGGTGGGGCATGCCCCGTACAGCCAGTGTATGGGCACCCACAGACAGCGTGCGAGAGCTGGGCTGTGTCCCCTTGCCCACCAGAGAGGTGGCCAGGGTGGCTTTGAGTCCTGCAAAAGGACAATGAGGCCGTAAGCCACCAGCGCTCAGGCACCAATGCAAGGCCAGACAACTTTTATTCATGTCTGTGCAGTGTCCCCAAATTTACCTATTTTTTTTCTCCACATACCTGCAGGCTGGCTCCTTGACTCAGGACTTCCTAGCCTGTCTTTTCCCCCCACTGCCTTTTCCAGGCTGGACTGCTGAGCTTCTTCCTCCTTTGTCTCCAGGGCTTATCTGCTGGATCCATACTTTCCATTCAGTGTGCCAGCCCCTGCTTCTCCAGTAGATGACTTTGCTGTCATAGCAGCCCCAGTTGGTTGCCTTTTGTAATCTGTGGCTGTCCTGTTCTTGTCAAATACAAGATGTCTTCTTCCTTCCTGTCTTCCCCCAGGTCTCCCCGCACCCCTAAGTTTATGGCTTACAGTATGCAATCCATGTATTAAATTAATTTTTAGTTAGGTCATTCGTTATTCTCTTGCTTTCTTCTCGGCCGATAGAGCTTCCAGAGAACTGAAAAGTTGTAATTTCTCCAGGGCTAAAATCCAAGTCTTTGATAGGCAGGCATGATGCCTGGGGCCACTACATGTTGC